GAGGCAAGAGCACAAACAAAAATAAAAATGAGTTCTTATGGGAATACTTACGACAAGTCTGTTTCTGTCCGGGGTTTACATCAGCGCTTTGTTTATTTTTTAAAAATGTGAGTGACTCATCATCTTTAAAAGAAGAGAGGAGGTTACTGTTTAAAAACTAGAGATTAATCTTTTAGAAAAGGGCTCAGCAGAAGATCAGGCAGCTGACAGAGTCCCAGTCATTGGGATGGGTACGATTCCCAGGACAGCCCTTCTGGAAGTGAGCTGGGGGAAAGACGGTGGTTAAGAGCACACGGAGATTTTAAAAAAGAAAAAACCCTACAGCGGATCTTAAGTGACAGAAGAATTTAACTTCTAGCCAGACCCTCAAAGCGATTATCTTTGCTGAAATCATCACATGACGGAAACTTGCCATGTAGAAAATATCAGAGTTACTAACTTTTCCAAACATAGCAACTTCTTTTTAAATAGAAAATAGACACAATAAGAAAAATAGGAAAAGAAACCCTCCCAGTCCAATCCCTTCCTGCTCCATGCCCCGGGGAAAAAAAAAAAAAATTATCTTTTAAAACCTTAACTATGATCAGAAACACGAAGCGCATATGCTTTCATTTCTAATTGATGATTATATTAAGATTTAATAGTTTACAATTAAGATGAATCTTTCAAGATTACAGCAAAACCCACACCAGTCCTGATTTGCTGTTCTAAGTCTGTAATTAAATTTTTTTCTTTCTCTTTTTTTTGGGGGGTGGTGGGGGGAGTCCACTGTTTTCAGAGACCTTAATTAAAAGAGCAGGTTTGGTTTGAACACAGAGCCTGTTTTGAATCCTTCCCCATGCTCCATCTTATCTCTCCCTCGTGACCTTCCTCCCCGAAAATGGTTTCTCCTCAAGACAAGCATGTGATCATCAAACAAAAGTTTGAAAGTTAACAAACTTCTATAGCAGTTGACAAGGTTGACATTTCATTAACTTGTTGGTTCAGTCTTCAAATGATTTTGCGAGGCGAAGCACCCTCTGTTTGGAGTTTACAGCTTTTTGTTCTCCCTTCCCTCACAGACTACAGTCATGTTTAATTTGGAATCTGGGCTCCTTTGGCAAATTAGCAATTAGAACAATTTTGTGGGAATATGTATATGTGTCATTAGTTTTCCTGCAAATTAATAGCAAGGGCAGAGGTCAGGCAGAAATTTTCCACTTGACTGCCGTTCCTCTATTGAGACTTGGCACTTGGTTGTGGAATGGCCACAGCTGCTCTCAGCCACCCTCTTCCTGTAGGAACTGTCTTTTAATTAGTTTACCTCACAGCCATCATTACAAATATTACTGCCTCCCCTCCTCGAAGTAAAATTACTGTTTCTACAAAATATTCCAGTGACATCTTGCACCACTGCACATTGATGGTGGGGTCACTCGAATGCAGCATTTAATCATTAGATCACCTCCATCCGCGTCTCCTAATTAGAACCCTTACAATACATTTTTATCTGGTAATTAGCTGAGATTGGCTGCTTCCTCTGTGGCTTATTAGAGACAGCCCAGCAGTGGGTGTGAATCACGGTGTCACTTGTGAAGCCTGGTAAGCCCCCTCTCTGCTCTCTTCTGGCTTTGTGTTTATTTCCATTTGCTACCTATGTTCAAAAGCCTCCAGAAAATTCTACCGTGTATTTCTTTGTGGGTTGTGCTAACCTGGAGGGATTTTATTTTTCACTGTTGCTTTTTCGGTACAGACAGTCCAGGTGTTAAGACCTTGGGTAAAAGCTACAGATGTCCCATTCTTTTCACATTTTATGACACAGTACCACGTGACGTGTCTGTTCTCCTGTGTGAGCACCGCAAGATGGATTTGTACTTGCTGAATGTTTACATGAGTTTTGATTTTTTAGAGTCCCGTACACTTGGTGCCCTTCCTCACAAAATGAGCAGCCAGCATATTCCTTGAGGCCGTTCTATTTATAATTCTCGTTAAGTGTTTAAGAAAGTTATGGTGTTTAGGGTACTCTCCTTAAGCGGAAAAGAAAAGCCAAAAAGTAGAGTTAGTCCTCAGAATTGCTTAGTGGTGGTTAACGCACGCTGTCCTTGGACCGGTGTCTGTTTTTGATGGTAAGCTCTTCAGGGGCAGCGAATGAATGTTCTGTCCCTGTTTTTGTCATTTCAGTTTCAAATGCCTTATATTTGTTCATTTATAAGCAGGGACTAAAGCTATTCACTGAATCCTTTCCAAAAATGAGCATACAGAAAAATGAAACTGTCTAGTGTTTATTTTTCCCATTAACTGGGCATAAGATGCTTATACAGAGAGCCTAGAATCGCGAGTGTGTGTTTGACTGGTTGTGGATATAGGCAAGTCATTTCATCGATCTTTGGCCTCGGTTTGCTCATCTGTAAAACGTGAGCAGTGACATCTCACTTATTAGTGATGGTATGAGAATGAAGTGAAATCACGCAGTGGCAGGTGGTTTACAACACGGTTTATACAAATGGTATCCATGACTTTCCAGAGTGTTCGGATATTCTTAGGACTAGCAGCGTCTGAATTTTAAAAGCTGTGTATTTATGAGCAGTAGCCTTTGCTGCACTAATTTCCTTGACCCGTTGCTTGGGCTGATGCTTATACAGACTGGTTGCTGCACTTGGTCAGTGATTAAGGCCCAAGGCACAGAGGAGGTCAGCCCCAACCTTCCCCCGTGCTTCTCAATTCTGCTCCATCCCAAGGCTGCTACTCTGAACTGTAAGCACTTAGTCCGCAAATACGTGTCAGGAAGGCAGGTTTCCAGCACTAATAAAAAAGAAAGCAACTCACAGCATTGGCCCAGTTTGCTGGGTGGGGGGTGGGGGTTGTAAGAGCAGTGTCCTCTCCATAGCTTGCTCTTCTAGGGCATGGGGGTTGGGGGAAGGGTCTGGCATTAGCTGAGTCAGCATTTCACCAGGGGAATTAAAAAGGAAAGCAAAAAAAAAAAAAAAAAGATAGTAGGAAGGGAAAAATGAAGGGGGGAAATCGGAGGGGGAGATGAACCATGAGAGACTGTGGACTCTGAGAAACAAACTGAGGGTTCTAGAGGGAAGGGGAGTGGGGGGGGGGGTTAGCCTGGTGATGGGTATTAAAGAGGGCACGTACTGAATGGAGCACTGGGTGTTTATGCAAACAATGAATCATGGAACGCTACATCAAAAACTAATGATGTTTGGTGATTAACATAATATTTTTTAAAAAGTATGTTAAAGGAATATTTATATTTAAGAAATAAAAACTGTTAAGCATCCAGTTAAAAAAAAAGAGGAAAGCACAACTACAGGCTTGCTACCCACCATACCCTTTCCAGCACCATATTTACATTTTTTCCCTGAATATTTACCCAACAATATTTCATCCTTCTTTTCTTCAAATTCCTGGTTTTTATTTATTTATTTTTTTTTAGTGGAACTACCCTAAACATATGAGAGGCATTCTCATGGCCTTTTTCATTACTGGAGTGTGAGTAGAGGTGAATCTTCTCAACAAATTGGAACTTTAATGTGTTATGATCCCAGAGGAATCTCATTTTTAATACCTCCCACAAATAATGCCTTGTCCATAGGGCTACTGCCATAATGAAGTACTTATTTTGTTAAATGATTTGAAATCTGGTTTGAGAAAATGTTACAAGTAAGCCTACTTTGCATTAAGTTTCTTGGATTTGGGGCCGGCTCTAAGTATCTGAGATATCAATTCTGTGTAAACTGTAATATGTTGAAAAAGGCCAAGTTCTGCAGTATAGCTAGACATAGTATTTCTGGAAGAACAAACTCAGGGTAAGGGGGACGAGCCCATTTTTTTTTTTTTTTTATTAATAAGAGAAGCACTTCGAGGTGAAGGCTAATGGAAGGAAGGAAACGGTACTCCTTCATTTTCCTTTGTACGACTTCAAATAAATAATACTCATTTCCTCAGTTGATGCTCTAGATTCCATTATATTACTGAGCATTTGAAACTCAAAGAAAAAAAATTTTTAGAGTTCCCGATGTTTCGTATGTCATCTTTTTTAATAGATTCCAGTCCTCTATTTGATAGAGTTTAATGAAAATTATACATAAAGCTTTCAAAGATTAGTCTTTGCCAACTGATATAACTGAATGATGTCTTACTGGATCAATGCCACTCTTTTTTTTTTTTAAGATTGATTGATTTATTTGAGAGAGAGTGGTGGGGGCAGAGGAAGAGAGAGAATCTCCAGCAGACCCTGCGCTGAGCACAGAGCCCAGCGTGGGGCTCGATTCCACCATCCGGAGATCATGACCTGATCCAAAATCAAGAGTTGGACAGTCAACCGACTGAGCCGCTCAGGTGCCCCAGTGCCACTCTTTTTAATTGGAGCCACAGGCCAAACATCCTTGTGGTGGCTCCCATCGGTGAAGGTTCATCATGGAGTTAAGTGGCCTGTCCCCGTGCTGGCCAGTGTGGTTGCCACTGGCTACATGTGGCTATTTAAACAAAAGTTTAATTTTGATAAAAAGTAAAAACAGTTCCACACTGGTGCTGGCACATTGCAGAAAGTGCTGTTGGAGAGCTCAGGTCTAGACCAACGTATCCCAGCTGGTGGCTTCTAGAACGTTGGTGTTCACTGGCCCTACCAGGACTCCACCCGCTCCGGGAGGTTTGCCAAGCACAGTAGGCTGCTCAAGAGGGTTCAAAGCCATGACTCAAGAAATGTTTTGACCCAGAACTTGTCAAACTTCACTGGGCTAGGTCACCCCTTTCTGCACACACTCATTTTTCACCGTCTTTGGAAAACACCTGTGTCACCAAGGGGTCAGGAGAACATGGCCAGAGAGATTTTTAAACTAACCACTTGTGAACGGTTTTTACATGGGAACTCGCCTCACATTTCAGTTGATTAGAAGCATCTACTTAGAGAAGTAAAGCTAGCCAGGCGTCCCCTGTGGTGTTCTGGATTTCAGATGCCTGCTTGCTCCCTGTTTTGTCTGAAGCTCTTCTAAGAATTCTTCTTTTCCTCACAGCTGAATCTGGTATCAAGTGTCACACTCTCCAAGTCTGCATCTGAGGCTTCTCCACAGAGCTTACCTCACACTCCGACGACCCCAACCGCCCCCATCACTCCTGTCACCCAAGGCCCCTCCGTCATCACCACCACCAGCATGCATACGGTGGGACCCATCCGCAGGCGGTACTCAGACAAATACAACGTGCCCATTTCTTCAGGTAAATACTCCATTTTCGCCTCATGTAGAACTGTAATATGCAATTCTTGTAGACCAGCCTCTTTTTAAAAAGTGATAATTAATAGGACAATGATTCTTATTTAGCAGATATTGCGCAGAACCAAGAATTTTATAAGAACGCAGAAGTTAGACCACCATTTACATATGCATCTTTAATTAGGCAGGTAAGTAAATAACACAGTATGTGAAATTCTATCAAAAGGTATATGTGTACATGGGTATATTATATTGATGAAGTAGATTTAAAACCGTTTAGTATGCAAGCATGCTAAAACCTTTTCTATAAGGTTTTTTAAAACTGCAATATATAACATAATTGCTTTTGATTAAGTATTACAATACGATGTGATTATTAGGAAATTCATTTCACACAACAGTGAAAATGAGCCTGTTTAAAGATGGCAAGTCAATTATCACAAGCTACAGTAATCTCTGATCCCTAGAATTAATCTGAGCTCTAAATAATTACTGAGCTTTAATCAGCTAGTGAAATGTTTTGCATTTCTCTTTGATTCTGCTTTATGAATGACTAATAAATTAATATTTCTGTACGGAAACAGAAATAAAAACTCAAAACAATTAGATAACTCCATTTTGAATTTTGCTATTGAACTGTTAAATACAACCATTAATCTTAGATCATTTCGTGAAACCTTTCTTGGGCTTTAGCTCTGAATCCTGGTTATTTTATATTTTCAAGAAACTGTATAATGACGATTTTGCTGATTTGGTCATAAATTATCTTCTTTTGTTACTTTTGCTTCATAGGCCATTCTCGAATCTCCAGAAAAGCAGCTAACACTAAATGAAATCTATAACTGGTTCACAAGAATGTTTGCTTACTTTCGACGCAATGCGGCCACATGGAAGGTAAACTTTCTCGCAGGCCTGTTAGGCTTGGGTCTTACTTACCATTTATAAAAGAGTTTGTTGTTGAAAAAATGCAGGTGTTTTAAGTTACATGTGTATTGTTTTGATACACTCAAAAAGTCAGATTTATGGGAGTATTTTATTGAGAGAAGAGTACTGTTGGGGTTAGAATGCCGGGATAGAAGGCTCCCATTACATTGGCATCAGATTTTGGATGGACCAGCCAGTAAAGTCCTTTCTGTCCGGTTGCAATATGTAGGGAAAAGGAATGGATGACACTGTCGCCCCGATATTGAGGTTGTCCTCTTACTTACACAAACCTCATGCTTTTCAGTCATCAGCCACCACCAGAATTTGCTGAGATGGAGGGCTAACATTTTTTTAACCGGGAGAAATGATCAGACAGACTTGACATAACTTTCATTGGTTGGATTTAAAAAAAAAAAAAAAAAAAGCTCCTTACCATAATTAGTAAAGAAAGCTGTGTGGTCTCAGGACTAGCACTGTGTATGGCAAGTATCAGAGGGGAGCATCATATATTATTAAGTTTTTGGTTTTAGTTTTGGGCTTTTGGGGGGGGGGTTTTTGTTTTTTTACATCACTCTATCCATCAGAGATTCATAGAAAATCTGGAAAAGGAAATTATCCAACTTCACTGTAACACCATTTACACCATTTGCTATAAAATGGATCAAATCCCTCAGCTCCACATGGGATGCCCTAACAAGGCTTGAGGATCACGTGATATACCTCATTTCCAGTTCAGCAGTGGGTTCATAGATTCTTTTAGTATTTCTTCCACTGCATTGAATGAAGCCCTCACAAATTTTTGGATTTTACCGCTTTTACTTTCTTGGTTTAAATATTCTTGCTATAGAAGAGAGCAGGTCCAACCTGACAATTTTTTTTTCATGCTTTTCTCCTATCTAGAATTCTTATAATCCCCAAATTCCACACCATGTAAAATGCAAATATCTTAGGATATTTTTACATGTCATTATTATAAATATGATAGGGATTTATTATAGGATGCAAAGGAAATTTGCTCTGCTACTTTTTAAATTTTAGATAGGAAAAAAACAAAAACAGAAAATACATTGCCTCTTTTATGTTCTTGATAAATTAGCATTTTAAAAGAAAATGAATATAACCGTAGAATTAATTTATCAACCTCACACAGCCATGAATATCTATTATGGCTCAAAGTATCCTTTTTTATTTCCATTAAGACACATGGGTGCTGAAGGGAACCTATGTTCAAAACCTTACCCGCTTCTCCTCAGCCTCCCTTAGGAGATAAAATGCAAAGTATCTTTAGCTATGAATGCCTTTCAAAATGTAGGAACTATAAGCATGAAGCAGACATTTTCTTCAAATTGCCTTTTATAAATAGAAAATGATCAAATTTAAAAATAATTACTGGCTGTGAATATGATATTTAAGCTCAGATCTACAGCTTTAACTTTTTCATTTTTGCAAACTGCAGGAAAAAGTGCCATCAATATAAACAATCCTAGATCAAGTACCAAATGACTCATAAATACATATAATTTTCTCTACGTGTCCTTATTTCTGTTGTAATCCTAAACAAAAGATGAAGTGCCCAATTTAAGTCATGGCTGAAAAGGGCTTACTCACGTTTTTGGGCAACTCTTTGATTTCTGGATGCTTTTGCTTAGATGTACAGTCTTGGAAAATAAAACTTAAGTTTGACTTTCTATCTTTACTTACATGGCCACACGCTTCAGACAGATCTATAGTAGTCCTTCTGGCAGACATGGTTTCTTTAGATCTTCTGCAGTTCTAAATGTTTCGATGCTTATTCTAAAGTATTAGACAGTGATAAGGTTGAGGGGAAATGTTGATTTCTTTCCCCACTATGTCTTCCATACATATACATGATCTGTCTGTAGTTTTTTAAAAGACAATTTGGGTTTATTTATCTTAACCTCCTAAGTATTGTTCTAGGAGGTAAGAGTAGACCCTTCGCATCCCTGTGCCATGCACTGGTACAGCATAAAAAAGAAAATGCTTATTGAAAGAGCAGACTACAACCTATACATGAAGAAATTTGTCCTACCAAGTATAAATATAACATGACAAACGTTTTCAGAGATTTTTCTTTTGTTTTTATGCCAACCTGTCCAACCTGTTTGAATCAGGGGTGTCCTTTCACGGTCATCTGGATGTTTTCAACCTACCCCAATTATGCTGACATAGCTCAAAAACTCTGAGAATTTATCCTGTGGATTCTCCTTGCGAGTAGTGGATAACTTAGCTATGTAATAAAACATGTCTCGTTATCTCCTTAAATATTCCACATCGAAAAAGAAAAATCAGCACTATCTCGTCTGACTCCTCAGAGTCACCAGTGGTGATTATCTAAAAGTGGAAACAGCACTCAGTATCTTGAGAGCGGAAATACTTGCAGGCAGCCCAAGGGGTGGGTTGCCCCACGCTTGAGCGATGGCAGCATCATTGGAATGGAGTGGAGGATATGCTACATGGCATATGGGAAATGGGATGTATGCATCCGCTGTTCAGGCCACAGTAGTCACCTGCTTATGCCCTGTAAGAAGAAAGGTTTGAGTCAATGGCATGGGTCTTTTTGTAATGTCCTCATGTCTAATTTGGAGTCTCGATCAGCAAGTTCAACCACGGAGGCTAAAGAAGTGAAGCCATGTTTGTTCCAGACCCCAGCATGGGTCGTGGATTTTTCTGAAAATCAAAGCAAAGAGGAGATGTTAAGGCTCCTCACCTTTGAGTTGAGATCCTCCTTTTTGGTGGACTATGGATGTCCAGGGTCTCCGTTTAAGAATGATCTTAGAAATGACATTTAACCATAAAAAAGAAACATGGAGGCGGGGGATAGAAATGTGTGTCTTTAGGAACCATCAGCGGCAGGAGTATCATCTTTTTGCCATTGAGAGTTCTACTCAGGTGTTTCTTTGACATTTTTTGTTAATTAAGGTAATTGCCCATAGTAAGGGCCAAGGTTTGTATATATTTGGGAAGGTAAGACATAGCTTGATGATGGATACCGATGTACTGGGGATCATTGCATTCCCTCATCCAGTCAGCTGCAGGAGGTGATGCTCTCAGTGGTAAAACCCAATTTAGATAAATCTGACAAAACGCGTAGAAGGTATTAAAGCCAAAACTTTCAAAAAAAGAACAAGAACAAAATGTATTTAACAGTATTATCATCTTGCATGTTTTTTTAAAATACCCTTTTATATGGGAGATAAGTCTAAAGGGGACAGTTTTATGCTCTACATGTTTATTTTGAAGTCATATTAACAATATTTTCAGATTTTTACTGTGACCCCTATTTTGGGCTTATATGCATATTAACTATTTCTTCTGGTTCTCTACTACCAGAGACTAGATGTAAGTGCCGGAGTATAATTAATTGATAATTTTGTTTTTTGTTTTTTGTTTATTTTTACATTTGGAAAAGGCATCCTTAACCTCAAGAAGGTCATCCACGGGGGTGGTTAGCTACAGCTTTTGGGGATGGTTTGACAAATGTGGACTGTGAGGCTGAATTTACTGCTGTTTTTGGAGTCTTTTCTTATAGAAAATGTAAATGTTCTCTCTTTTATACTTGCTGCAGAATGCAGTGCGTCATAATCTTAGTCTTCACAAGTGTTTTGTGCGAGTAGAAAACGTTAAAGGGGCAGTATGGACAGTGGATGAAGTAGAATTCCAAAAACGAAGGCCACAAAAGATCAGTGGGTACGTCCACCATGTTTGAACTTCTTAGCCTAGCTTGGATTGTGCTAACAAGTGTCAAGTAGAGGCTTTTGGCTGCTAGACGGTGTTAGACCAACGAACCGGTTTCACGTTGTCTCAGTTAAGGGAAGCAAAAAAGCATTTCATCCCTCCTGTTTTGTATACCCACCAGTCCCCCTGCCCTGCTTGCCGGTCTTTGTTGCATCCCACGCTAGTAGCTTTAGGTGGCAATGCATATTAACCCTCACAAACCATTTGCTTATGCTTATTGCATTTTATTTTCTTTTTCCTGTTCCCTGTATTGGATGTCTGTTCTGCCCACCCCCCCCAACCCCGTCTCCTTTTGTTGCCACTCCATCTCCTTTGCCGCTGCTCCTATCCCAGGGTGCCATTCGCACCAACCTCTCACTGCATAAGTGCTTTATCAGAGTAGAGGATGAGTTTGGGTCCTTTTGGACAGTTGATGATGAAGAGTTTAAACGTGGCCGCCATATTCAACGAGGCCGTCCTCGCAAATACTGCCCCGATGAAAACTTTGACGAGCTTGTCACACAGTAAGAGCCTTTACTTGCTTTTGTTTTGTTTTTTCTGCTGTTGCTTTGGCTTTGCATGGTTGACTCATCCCATGTAGTTTTGCATCTCACCAAGTAGCAGGTACCACGGCTTTTCTGCAATGGAACTAAATTGTGTGATTCGTACATGTATTTCTCTTGTTTCTCTTTGGAACACCAGTGCCTTGAATAATGCTTTTTTGACGTCTTTAATGCACATATTGGTCATATTTTGATTCAGCAGCTTATGGGGACCCTTTAAGAGTAAAGCACATACACTTCCTTTAAAGGCCAATGATCAATCTGGGTGACTTCCTACTTGGAAGCCTCTCCTTCCTAGAGATTTTTTTCGAATGGTATCTTGTCTTCGTTGGATTAGTTCATGGACACAGCATCCAGTATTCTTACAACCTCCCAGATTTGGCTCTGCAAGAAAGATCTCAGCCCAACCTCCCTGCCTTCCTTGGGAACAACCCTTTCCTGTCACCTCCCTTCTCCCCATCTTCTTTTAGCACTAAATGTGCCTCAGAGGGGGATCTCCTTTAAGAGGCATCCTGCCTTTACCTCCTACGGTCATTCCGGAGTTAATATCATGGAGACGATTCTCTAGCTAACAACTCCCAGGAAACCCTGCTGTCAGCTCACTGACTGACTTCCCCTCACCCCCCAGAGCTTCTGCCTTCCTGTTGGACTCACGGCAGCTACTAAAAATGTGCGGAGAGGTCAAGATGTTGTGTGAGGGGAAGAAAAAAAAAAAAAGCATCAGTGGAGGGGAGTGCCCAGGGCTGGTCTAACTGAAGCCCGAATTTTACACCCAGTTTCCTTGAAGAGCAAAGTCCTACCCCAGGGTATCCACACACACCAGCCCCGTAAAGCCGGGGGGGCTGTGGCGAAAACCTACCTTTCCTTTGGTTTTGTTAATGGGGGACATTTCTGATTTGGAAGGGAGACCAGCAAGCTTAAGATAAAACTTGGCTCGGAACTCAGGGGCTGATTGCGTTTAACTTTGAGTTTTTATCTTTTTCTTATGCAGTAACCCTTCCCTTATTAAAAACATGCAGAGCAGCCACGCCTATTGTACACCCCTCAATGCAGCTTTACAGGTAAGATTAATGGTCGTCCCGAATATGCAGCGGAGGCACATGTCTCCCCCGCTCACTTCAAAATATATTAGCCTCGCTCTAATTAGATATTAAATTTTAATTCCGTTAAACTTTTTTCTTAAGTGCACAAAGCATCGTACTCCCTGGAGGCAAACACATCGGGCTGCTTCAGCATTAGTGGGATGCTTAGCATTTTGAATATTGTGGCAAAAAAATTAAAAGTTCACTTATTAATATTTATCAGCAGTATCATAATTTCCATCCTCTTATTTCAGAATTTCACTTGAGGCAAAAATACCACAAGTGTAATTACTCTAGCACAGCTATTAATGTGCTGGATGATAGGCCACTGTATCACATGACCTTCTATTGTTCACGGGTTTAAAGAGAAAGCAGAGCTTTTTGTCTGTTTTAGCATCTTTAGTCCTTTGCCGGGGTGGGGGGGGCGGGGATCCAGGTTTGGTTCACTTGGTAAAAGTAAACTGTTTTTGTTTAAACTAGAGGGGTGTTGAAGAACACTCTTTAGGTTTCCAGCAGATTGCTCAAGATTACATAAGCAGCATACAGAATGTTTGTTTCCTACTGACAAACCAAGCACTCATTACATAACCAGCATTACCGGGGGATGAAGACACTAGTTTTGAGCAGGAGTGAGTTTACCACCCAGATACAAGTTACCAAGGCAGCCAGCCGAGCCTTTTATTTATCCCATTTCTCAGTGGTCCCAGTTTGAGTTTGCCCCTGCCTAGATTGTTCTAGAAGACAGGCCAAGGGAATCTTGCTACCTTGAAAAAGACATATTCTGTACACATATGATCCCAGGCCATCCCAGACCTTTACAGCATGGGTTCTTGCTGGGGGCTTTATCGCTCCAAAATGGGTATATAGTACAATGTCTTGTGCCCCTCCAAAGGGCCATAACCCACAGAAACATTTACAGACAAACAGGAGTGTCTTCAAAACGCTCCTTAAGGGGTCAGGGAAGAGAATGAAAAATGGTTGAGCTACTTGACATTATGGGAACAGAGTGGGTGAAGAGGCAGGAGATCAGGACGGGCACGTGGTTCTCACTACTCCTAGAACAAATATTTATTGAGCACCTAACCTGCACCCTACACAGTTTCCCAGATCACTCAGCACAGCCTCCTGGCTCCCAACAATAGATGATACACCTTTAACGCAGTTTCCGTGCAGAGGCAAATGCACTGAACTTAGCTTTTCAGTAATTATATTTATTTATTTTTAGCCTGTACCAACTTTAATAGGAGGAACTACTTTCTGAGTTTCTGATAATTACTTGTAGTTTACACAGTAACTTTAGAAAAGCAAATGAGAGCACGCTTAGATGCCGCCACTGTAAATACCATTCATTAGTAACTTATTTTCCCTGGAGTCTTGTGAAGTGTGAATTTAAAGGCTGCTCTATCTGGAAGAGTATTAAGATTACAAGCACATTTTACATTCATGAGGCGGAAAGGAAAAAAAAGCAGTGATCCTCTGGATTCTCTTAACTATGTGACTGACTGATTTAAATTAGTATGCCTTATCATGACAAAACTGTTCATGTTTCTTCTGGAAAACATTTGTTTTTGGCATCCTACCTCCCCCTTCTCGTTTCCAGGGGTAGCCCAAAACAAGCCTGTAGTTTTCCAAGAACACTTTATGTGCATAATGAGGTGAGGTGAATAAACTGATATAAATTCATGATTGGAGGAATGGATCTTTTTCCTCTCGTCGAGGACTTTGGATCATGTAACTTTCTCTGCTGTGCAAATTAAATCAGGATTCTACCAGCAGGCTTTCCTTCCCATTATTGCCCATTTCCATTTTTCAAGACAAGTAAAAATAATAGTGGAACAACATCTTAAAAAGATTACTAGAGCAACATAATGCATGATATACAATATATAAAATAGGACAGCAGAATCCACTACAGAAATAAAACATTGGACGTGAGACAGATTGCATTATGCTCTGAAAAAGTGAAGTAACTAAGGGTAACCGTAAAGCTTCTTATTTATAGACTGCCTTTCCCCCGAGGATCTTAGCATGGTTCGTGTTCCAGGAGCAGCGGTACTTATGGACTGAGGCATCTTAGTTTTTTAGTTTTTGGGGGGGTTGTTTTGTTTTGTTTTTTTGGGCAGAGGTGCCAGTTTGATAGGAAACCACATACTGTACACAGGACCATTTATATCATGAAGTCCGTTATAAAAATCATACCCCACCTGCTCCTCCGTAGACATCAACTACAAAGACAAAAAAAAAACCACTTTGTTAATGTTTCTAGCCTTGGGTGGGTTGCTTTGATCACTCACTCAACAAAGAAGGTGCAAGAGGCTCTGTGGCCTATCAGGCACCATCCTCCTCTTAAAGGGACCAGGCTGGTTTTCCACTTGCCTTCTTTCTGGTCTCTCTCACCACCGAGGGATCAACAGAAGTGCTTGCCTTTTGGATGCCTTTCACCACCGTGGCTGTTGGGCCTCAGCCCATGTTTTAACGACCTTCACCTAGAACACTTCGAGAGCCAAGGAGAACACATCATCCTAAGAAGGTTGCTCTGTCCGTAAGGGTGACCATCTTATGCCATAGAACACCTTCTTACAAACATTTCAGTTTTGTCTTTACCTCTCCATTTTTGACTGGAGAAGCTGCTAAAAAAAAAAAAAAAAAACCATGCTGTAGAGATGGCCTCACTTGGGCCACGTTCTGACTGTGTCATGGTGACATGAGAGCAGAACTTCCATGACTGGGAGAGGCATGACCACTGAGTTGTCTCAAATGAAGGCCGTTAAGATGCTTGTCCAGCTGCAGTTTGCAAAAAAAAAAAAAAATTAAAAAATAATCTGGCAACCGTTCTTGCTTTTTGCTCTGCCAAAAAAAGAAAAAATGCTTTATTGCGATTATAAGAGATCTGTTGGAAAAAAAGTACTTGATGCAAATTATTTAACAAACTGTAGGAGAGCGAAGGAATGTTCAGATTTACTGTTCATCAAAATGAGTTCACCACATTTGGAAATAAAAACAGGATTTTTTTTTTCCCACTTTTTAAAAGCAGGCAGTTATATAAATCCAGAAGTGGAGGGAAGGGAAATCTGTGGGCTTGCGCAGAGCCTGTCTTTGAAATCGTCCGTTGGCCAATGCTGTGTTAAGTGGAGACCCGTCCAGGGAGCGAGGCTGCAGTTGTCCTCATAGGCACATTCCCTGCAGCCCGCTCTGTCTTCATTTTTGGCTCTTTCTTTCTCTCTAGAGCCAGGATTTCTAGAATACTTCGGACGCTTGTATGACTGGCCAATTGAAGTCACCAAGCCAGATTGTCTTGTGATTGTACTTTCTCCTCATTAGGATGGAAAACCAGGCATATTGTAGTCTGCAAGAGGACAGTTTTGATAAATCTTGGTCTAATTACACTGCCAGTTTTTAAAAGTCTGTCCTCTTCAATAAAATGAAAAGTTACTGGGTCCTAATCTCTACCCAATGAAACAATATGGATACTTTAGTCCAAAGCTGTATTTAATGACTGTCTGCATTTGAGACTGGGTGGTCATTTTATTCAAACACAGGAGGATGAGAAGTGAACAGTATCCCACCACAGACTTCAGGATTTCCTCTTTTCTCCATTTCCACTCTTTTGGGCTGGCACTCATGTAGAGTGACAGATTTTTTTTTTTCCTTCAGTCCTAAAATTCCAGGTTGACCAGTCTGAGTCTGAAAGATTGAGATAACTGTGGGGTAACATCACACAAACTACACTAAACAGATTCAGAAATCATTAAAACCGACAGAATGGTGGCAGATAAAAATGGACTCCAATTCTATAATCTCTTCCTTTTCTATAGGATCTAAGAGGTAAATGTTTATGGAAGTTCTCATAAGTTTGAGCTGTGAGGCCAGAATAATTGGATCAAATCTTTAATATCCAATACTGGAGTCATCAAAGTGGATAAAGAAATGAAAATTCCATCATATTTCCCTGTGATCTGGAAATATTCAGTTCCTCCTGAAAGAAGGCATCAGACAGAAAGCTCATTTTAGATAGCCCTGTCTAAACCACGTGACTCTACCCAGCAGGGCTAAATTGAGTCCTCCCTCCCCACCAGCACTTTGGTCCCAGCTAGCTCTTGGAAACCAAGCATGGGACATGTGTCGCAAGTCTGCCTTTTAAAGCAAAATCCTTCTCCCCGTTAGAAACTTGTATTGGCCAGCCCTACTAAGAACCTAAGCAGAAGATTGTTGACTACACCCGTAATTAACGGCTTCCCTGTCTGGGCTTACCCTACGTCCTCATATATTTTCTCTTCGTTGCTAACAGGCTTCAATGGCTGAGAATAGTATACCTCTATACACTACCGCTTCGATGGGAAATCCCACTCTGGGCAACTTAGCCAGCGCAATACGGGAAGAACTGAACGGGGCAATGGAACATACCAACAGCAACGAGAGTGACAGCAGTCCGGGCAGATCCCCTATGCAAGCCGTGTGAGTACTGTCCACCCAGAAGGTCTCTGCGTGCAGGTCCCAGTCTCCCGCTTCGGTGTGCACACAAGCCCTTCTCAAGCTGCTCTTGATACCTTTTCTGTCATTTCTGCTTTCCTAGAATCTTGGTAAAAGTTCGTGCTTCTGGAAATGTTTAGCTTGGTTAGCACGTAAAAGGACCATTTACTAACTTTCCCATAAAAGCAATCGGCTTCATGCAGCCCTACAAGTGCTCCGAGCAATAACACGGGTGACTCATTTGCTTTTTTTCCCTCTGCTTGGCATCTCAGGCCATCCTTTAAGCCACATTACCTTTTCCTCCTAAAATCGGCATGTGTCTCTGTCAGTTTGTTCAACTTGCGGGCACGCCGAACCTAGCAGGGGGAAAAAGAATGCTTGTTTACTTGGCCGTGTGATAGTCTGAACCGCAAACACAACGCTGAAGTGTTATGACCAGGCGTTAATGATGGCACAAATGAAAGGCGGCATGATTTATAGATTGCTCTTAAAATATCAAAAGGAAAATTAATAGGAGCATTATAGCAGCAGACGGCAGTCTAATGAGCACCATATAACCGAATGAAGTGATGGGCGATGGTTGTCCCTGCTGCGTGTGAATGGGTTGAATGGCACTAGGACCGGTCCAACGACAGGAGAGGTGTGATGCCTGGCAGCCGGCGCACACCCTCCCTCCCCCCGTGGGTGTGTGGGGGGAGGTGCGTGGCTGCAGAAGAGCCCCAACTGGGGCAACCCCCTCTCTGCCAGGGAAAGTTTAAAAGAGAAAAGAAGCCACATTGTTCCAGATGCTTGGATTTGTGGGGGATGCTCTAGAGGGACAGTCTCTCCCTTGGAGCAAGTATCTGGTCCACCGTTGCCCAATTTAAAGGAAGAAACCAATCCAATGTTTGCAGCACTGGCCGTTCCTAGAATAGGCCACTTGTCTACACACTCCTTCTGAATTACTTGACCAACACCTTATTTTAAGATAATTTGAGTGATGGGAATGGAAATACGACCTGTAGCCACGAGGGCCAGAAAGAATTGGCATCAAAGGACAAGGAAAAGAAAAATGCTCTCGGTCAGGGTAATGAGTGGGTTGGGGGCAATCTGAAATTTGATCATTTAGCATTTGAGTTTCATGCCCAAAGTGTTTTGAAAAGGATCTTAAAAGATTGGAAATAATCATTTTTAATTTATGTGAATAGTCTCTTTATTTACTACACAACATTTTAAGAATGTGTTTGTCTTTGACACTGATACTGCTATGTATCATCTTTTTGAAAGCAGTCTGGTGTTTCTGACTTGACTGTAGTCACACTCGGGTTCATTTTTAAATCATTGTCATGACAGGAGTGTTTACTCAGATATTAAGGAAGTTCAGACCAAATATAAATTGGTATATAAGCACCTTCAAGAAATGCTCATTAAAGCAAGTATTTCTGAAGTTATTCAATGGGAGAGACTATTTCTCATCATCTTTATGAACTCCAAGGGTTAGCTGATGTCTATTCCTACTATTTAGTGCAAAGCATTACTGAAAAGAGAAAGATACTTGGATAAAAACTTCAGGCAACAGTTAAGAATGACGCTAATTTTGCTGTACAAGATAAAGCCACAAAGTTAATTTGTTTAACAACTTTGAATTAACCCCGGTGTTACCAGAAACCACATTTCGCAAGCAGTCAGCATAATTTTTAACGAAATGAAGGTTACGGTTGTGTTTTGTTTGTAACGAAATGAAGGTTTCGGTTGTTTTTTGTTTGGGTTTGTTTTGGTTTTGTTAAGGAAACCCGACGTAAAGATGTCAAAATGCACTGTTGTTCAGACCTCCCCGCTTTACACTGTTTGCTAAATATAATTATATGTCAACAGCGTAGTCCCTGTGCCCGCTCTCAGTGTCACAGACTGTTACTCTTTTTGACCCTGTATTTCCATTAAGTGAATTCTGTAATGACATAGTTTTCCTTCTTGGGCAATATGCATTACCCTGCTATGATGCAAATTGTTTCTTAACTGTTCTAGTCTATTGGAATAAATCAAGCCGTAAACTTTATGGCATGGCTTAAAGAACCTTGTTAGTTCGGCAGCCCAGCTACTATCTAGCATTGAAACAGCGCTCCTCCTTCTCACCCTTTCTGTGCTGCTTCAGGACTACCACATTTTGTTTCTCTTCGGAAACACTAGAAAGTAGCCACATAATTATGGCTTTGGGGCATTATACTTTTATCCTGATAGGAGCTAACGGAGCTACAAAGCATAATACTCCATGCTGTGCACACACCCTCCGAACACAATGCCCCTAAACACCAGTCAGCTTTAGTTAAAAACTCTCGTGTTCCCAGAGTGGCTAGACAAAGGAATTACTCAGATGTAAGGAGGGAAATGTGTGGTTTTGCAGTTATTCATTGGGAACCGTTGGGGAAGTAGGAGTTGGGGGGGAAAGGTGGGGCAGGGGACAACGTGCAGGATGGTGCATCGTGCAGTTCCGATTTCTGGGAGACACACGAATGTGTGTGAAGCATCGTATCTTAAATAGTTTGCATCTTACCTGAGATGTATCGTGCTTGGAAATCCATTCTCTTTTATTCTCTGAAGCACCGCAGGCGTGTGTGACTGCATTTGCCACGCTCGGGGGGATCTGCTGGGATCAAGGAATGTTATGCAGCTGGATTTCGATTCTCTGGAGTTCTAAGAAGCCTTAATGTCTAAGTCAGTTGGGTTGTCAGGTTGTCACACAGATCTCGTCAGTTAGTATTTGTTGGGGACCCACTCTGCATTAGGCACTGGGGTGAGCCAGCATGCGTGATAGGGTCCTAACCTGGGTCTTGGGGAGGGTAAATAATCTTACTCAAGTGCAGCTGCAACTTTCCAGGGAAAACAAAACCTTCTCTAACATGAACATTGTATCTGGTTTGTTTTTGTTTGTGCCTAGCAAAACATTTGTCAGAGTGGAAAATTATAAAGCAAGAACTTCATTAAGAATGTTCCATTTCTTCTCCATCCTCCCACCCCCTATAGCCTTATATCATCTCATGTCATCAAATTCAGGTTTCTAAACCTGAAAAGATTAAAGAAGTGAAAGTAGGAAAATGTTGATCAGGGAAACCACATTTGAACTTCAGTACAGGGCTAAGTAACACATAGATACATTTCTAGCCAAATGTGATCAGCAGAGAAGGGGGGCGGTAAATTTATGAAGTAGCACTGCTCAATAGTGAAAATATGAAATTCAAACAGGAAGAAATGTTCACCGCTGTCAGTAATCCAAGAAGAACAATTTAAGGTAACCTGAGCTTACCAGATACCTGGTAAACAACAAAATATTTTTTAAAATGTAACACTTGGGGCTGATGAAGTTGAGTCTAAATTGATATCGCCCCTTTGGAAATTAATACTATAATAAATCTTAAGAACCATGAAGATGTTTTTGGCCTTTGCTCCCAGAATTTCATTCTTAGAAATTTATCCTGAGGAGGTAAATCAACAGAAATAGGAAGATTAATGGATAAAAGTGGTGGCTGTATTATTCAAAGAGCAAAAGAAGGAAAAAAAAGACAATCACAAAATGCCCAATATTAAGGGACTGCAGAGTCCACACAAGGTATCTCATATACCCATAAAAATTACAACTGAAAAAGTTGACAAACTAATATTTGTTATGTATACGTTATGTAAAAATATGATGCCACACAGGAGAGGATAGGCAAAAACAAAAAAACCTACCTTAATTTTGGGCTTATGGGTGATTTTTTTTAAAAGGCATAATCATCAATACACTTAATTATTCCCAAAAGAATATAGGGGCTCCCACCAGGGCTGGCTTCGGAGGCATGGTTAGAAGTTTCAGTGCTTCTGCCGTTTCCATTTTGAAATTCTGACTGATTTTTGAACCGCATCTTCACTTTTCACTGGGGCTCTGCAAGTTACATAGCCAGTCCTGTGTCTTCCTGTAGAAACACAGAGAAGTAGGGCCATGAAAAAACTGAAAAAAGGATGGAGCACAACCAGGAAAATGCACTGGACTACAACCTCGAGACATTTCGTTTTGCGACTAGTTTGAGGAAGATGGGCACAATTTTTTAAAAGCTCTTTCTCCTGACATCTACCCCCAGACACACTCTGGGCTGTGCTAATTTTAGAGTCAATTGGTTTTCTGAAGGTTCACCTAGTCAAGGGCAGTCCAAAGCACTCCTGTTTGTTTTTAAATGGTTCAAGTGGCCTTTGGGGGTTTGCATACATCAATTATTTAGGAAATCAGCCATCCCCAGTACCACCTCCTATTACTAATACTTGATAACGTCAATTAAAAAATCCTCCCTTCTGCAGCCAGTGCCAGCGATGGGACCATTTTAACTTGAATGGTTCTTTTCCATATCAAAAGGCTTGCAACAGAAAGTAATTTGTATTTGCAAAGGATCAGTTGTAAATATGATTTACGAACAACATTTCTCAGTTGTTATCGGAGTGGTTTCGCGTGATCCCCCGCAGTCCCCTTTGGGTGAACCGTGTGCTGGGCCATAATGAGGAAGTTGGCAGATCGCGTCACAGGCTGCGGCGTCCTGGTGGCCGCTACCAGCCAGCCCTCTTGTTTTGCCTTGTTTACAGCTGACAGCGTTATTATTCTGATCGGGGCTCTGCTTTCTTATCATATTGTTGTGTTGGGCGAGCCTTTTCCTCTCCGTTTGTGTTTCCTGGCAGGGCTTTTCTTGCCTTATTGACAGTTTGTAAAAATATGCATTAATTTGGAGTTTCAAGCATGTATCATGGTGTCTCTTTGCTGTGTTTGCTTGAAGTTGATTAATGATAGAACCTCGCTTGGGGTCGGTCTCTGGAGAGTTCTTTCCCAGGTTCTGCATGTTAACTAGCAAAGCAGAACACACAGCAAGCCATGATTAGCCCAGCCTCCCGCGCTCAGTGGTCCCCACAAACCACCATTGTGTTACAGATTCTTATTTCACGTAATGATTTGAAGACTCGGATTCCTCTCCCCGGGAAGCCACTGCGGGGCCTGTTATCTGGTGCTCAAAGTGTGGTCCTCCTCGGACCAGAGGCATTGCCTGGGAGCTTGCTAGGGATGCAGAGTCTCGGGCCCCACCCCAGACCTGCTGAGTCCCACGCGGCTATTTAACAAGAGCCCAGGGTGACTTGAGTGCACAGGACGGCGAGAGACACACCCCGGGGAAGAGAGGCTGCTTCGGGCCAGAGGTCACCCTAGAGCAGCTCTGCCCAAAGGAACCTTCTGCCGTGACAGAAATTTGTCATCTCTGTGCGGCCCCATTGTAACGGAGAAACTCCGTTTGAAATTGCATTAAGTTTTCATTTAAAGGGTCACACGTGGCTAGTGCCTCTGCTGGGAGACAGTACAGTCCTAGAGTGTGGCTTCTGTTGCCCAAAGCCCCGAACTTGCCGTGGTTGGGAGGGGCCCTCAAGTGAAGCTCTTTTCACTGTTGAATCTCAGATCTGTACCTCTGAAACAAATAATGCAATATATGTTAAGAAAAAAAAAAAGAAGAAGAAGAAGGTAGCGGGAGGGGAAGAATGAAGCGAGGGAAATCGGAGGGGTGGACGAACCATGAGAGACGATGGACTCTGAAAAACAAACTGAGGGTTCTAGAGGGGAGGGGGGTGGGAGGATGGGTTAGCCTGGTGGTGGGTATTGAGGAGGGCACATTCTGCATGGAGCACTGGGTGTTATGCACAAACAATGAATCATGGAACACTTCATCTAGAACTAATGATGTAATGTATGGGGATTAACATAAGAATAAAAAAAAAAAAAGTGAACCTCTTTTCATCTCTTCCAGGCATCCTGTGCACGTCAAAGAAGAACCGCTCGATCCAGAGGAAGCTGAAGGGCCTCTGTCCTTAGTGACAACAGCCAACCACAGTCCAGATTTTGACCACGACAGAGATTACGAAGACGAACCAGTAAATGAGGACATGGAGTGAACGTCTCTGGGCGGGGGCCAGCCCAAGAACGAAGATTGGGGGAAAAAAACAAAAAAACAAAAAACAAAAACAAAACAAAAAAAAACAAAACAAAACACGTCAAAAGTTAGCAGTGAAATTGTTCTCCATTTGTTGTACAGTCTGGAGGATTTTCACTACATTTTGACAACTCTGAAACGTGTTAACTCTTAGTGCCATCAAGAATCCCATTTGGGAGTATTTTTGATTTTTCTACTTTTTGTTGAAAAAAGGAATTTGTACTCTGTGCATTGGATGGACTTGTTTGGTACTTGGGATTTTCCGCTCTTAAGTCAACATCAGTGTTGTAAATTTGCTAAACTGATTCACTTTTAGCAGCAGACTTTGAACTGCAGTCCTGCCGACGTCGGACACTGAGGACACCCAGCTGAGCATGTGCACCTAAGCCGCAGACCAAGCCTCTGCCCGGAATTTAAGGATTCCAACGGACGACCGATTTGCACAGTACTGCATGTTGATTATCACTGCCTTTACTCTTTTTTTTTTTTTTTTGGTTCGTTTTTGTTTTCGTTTTGCTTCCAGTTGGGATGGGGAAGGCCTTTGTGTGTGTATTGGGGGGAGGGGGTTAAAAAGTAATTATCCCAAACTTTTTAATGTATTGCATTTTTTTTTTTTTTTTTTTTGCTTCTACTATACCATTTTAAGTTCTGACCTCAGGCCTCCATTTGGGCCCACGGCCTCCTGGAGGCTTCAAGTTTTCTGTACCTTGTGATGAATGTTAATAGGTGTTTTTATTATACAAAAGCTGAATGTCATTTCTCGTTCGTAGTTTTCTGTCACTCATTCCAGTTTCCTTCAGACATAACCACGTTTTCTCCAAAGTCCGAAAACATTCCGTTTTGGTCTTTTTCAAAAAAGGTCCCAAATGCTGCACTCTACACGTGAAGGTCCTCTCACACAGACGTGAAGTCCTGCCAGAAAGAGAATGAATGACAGAAAAAAAAAAAAAAAGAATAGAGACACCCTAGGAACAACGCAGATTCATTCCACGAAGCAGTACTGGAGGCGGGAAGGGGGTTGTTTCAGGTTTGGTTTCAGTTTTTTGGTTTTTGGTGTTTTCTATTTTGCCCCTACCATCGTGGCTAAGCATTGCCCCAGCACAAGGAAACCTAGGCAGCGCTCCCCCCACCCCCTAAGATCTCCTGCTAGACCCCCAGTGTGGCCGTGGAGGGCTCGCCCTGTGGTGACCAAGTCGCCCTGGGCCACAGGCTCGCTGAGGCGAAAACCAGCACGGGTTGCTTTGTTTGCAAAATGACCCAAACAGCTGGCTTCCCCTGAGCAACTCTGATGAAAGTGGTGGCAGCGCTGAATTTAAACATCAGTCCAGACCTGCTTGGTGGCATTAACCTGTTTGAATGCAGATTAGATTTCAGATTGAATTTGTTATGGAAGTTAATGAGGACTGAGTTCAGCAGTGCTAAAGTGTCCATTTCAAACGTGTGAATTCGGCACTGCAGTTCAGTTTGTTCTGCAATATTATCACACCAAGCCAGCATCCAAAACTAACAGAAGACATCGAGGAGACGGGGGTGCATGGTGCCCCAGAATGCTTGGAGAAACATACATGGCACACGGAATGTGACAGTCATCGGTCAGTACCACCTCAGTCCTTAGAACCCCTCAGCGCCTCCACTCTGCACCCACTTTCCTGTCACTCATTTATTTATCTAGGACCGTAGCTTTTGTTTTTAGTTTGAGAGCCTTTCAGAGCTTAATTTATATTCTTTTGTACCTTTTTTTTTTTTTCCTAAAATTACCAAAGATATTACGCAAAGGTAAATTATGTTCTCTGTTTTATGCTTTATCTGATGAAGCCAAATATCCTCTTATTGTTGATCAAAGGAGGTGAAAGAATTTAGAGGCAATTGATGAGTTCTAGGCTATTGCTAACCTGAGAAAGAAAACTGCTCCTTCGTCATAGAATAAATTTAGAAGACCAAGTAGGTAATGGAACCAAAGCTGTTACTTTTGTTATTTTTTTTTTTCTTGTTCTGTACCTCAACAGAGACCAAAACTCATAAATATGAGAGGTTACGGGGCTGCTGAAGGTGTTACAGGAGCTAGGGAAGGAGAGGAGTCCCATCTCAAAACCATGAATGGATGCCACTGCAAATTAGGGAGTAACCAGTAAAGGAGACAGTCAAGATAAAATGGAACGAAAACAGAAAAGCTTCTACAATGCAACTCAATCACGTAGTACCATTCCTAGAATGTTTTGTTTTGTTTTCCAGAAAGATTGTATGCCACTTTGGTTTTAAGGACCGTGCTAAGATCACTGCGTCAATTTTGCTCTGTCTGGGCATTGATCTTCCGGTATTTTGTTTGGTTTAAAATATTTTCCTTTTTCCTTCCTTTTTTTTCTAATTAGGCTTTGGTCAGCATTTTTCATTTAAAAAAAAAAAAAAAAGTAACACTCCCATCCACTCATAAGCTTGGTACAAAAACTTCTTTGCCAGTTTCTTTTGAAGCTTCACTCTGCTTTCTGTATAAAGGGCAGTCTGTGGTCACTCGAGACTTTTTTTTTTCTTTTTTTTTTTTTTTTTTTT